AAACTTAAAAATGGGACTGACCCTGTTTCAGCAAGGATTTATGTGCGCCACATGGTTTGAAGCTCGAAACTGGGCTTGCCCTAAAAAAATAGGGACTTAGTGTTTGGGGTGTCTTTTGTAACACCTCCAACAAATATATATAGATAAGGTAGGATTCCTCTTATAATTTTTGAAAAATTCACATGTTTTCTTGTATTTTGCAAAATGGTAAGTATTTAATTCTCATATTTAGGTAAAAAAAATTGTTGGGTGGCATATACCAATGTAGTAAATCTATTTATTATAGTTCTTTTTATAAATTATTATTCTTTGTGATTTTAAACTTTAGCCTTTTTTTTTTTCTTGTAATAATAAAGTTTTGCTTGACTACTTTTCTCATAATTAAAGCCATGCATGGAAGGGCGAGGGATGTATCAAACTTTGGAGAGAGATAAAAAAAAAAAAGAAGGAAAACGGTGGGAGCACATGAATGAAAAAGAAAAAGGCATAAAATATTAAATAAATATAGGATATGGATGAATTTATAGTGAGGAAATGTTTTTGTAATCTAAGATGAATCCATCAGTGGTAAGTAACGAAATAAATTATGAACTACTTACCTTTCTAATCTTTTTCTACAAATAGCCAGACAATCAAGTAAAGGGGATGAAAAAAATTTACCAAGTAAAAGAGTGAGATAAAATCTTGAAGACAAATACGTGAGAAAAGAATAGGAGAAATATAATAAGATATTTCCTTAAAATTTTTCCTCATCTTTTCATAATACAAGGATATTATATTTATTTTTTAGCTAATATCATTATTTAGTTTCTATCAAAATTATTTTAGATATTTGTTTCTAGTTATCCTTGTGCTTTCGTATCTATTTTAGTCACCCAATGGCATATATATTTATATATATATATAGTGGGAAAGGAAAAGACATGTAAATAAGGAAAAATTATACATAAGTACCCCATTTATATGCTAGGGCTAGCTGTAATTTATACTTCTTATAATATATTCTCTCCATTCTAAATTATAAAATAATTTTAGATAAAATCTTATGTATCAATAAAATTTATTAAATATATCTTACAATCTTACTTTTTTAAGACAAATATATAAACTTTCAAAAATACTTTTCATTTAATACTTTATTCATGAAAGAATATTGAAAAGAGAGAATATATGAGAAGGGTAAAATTAAAAAATGATCATTATTAAAACGTTATTTTTATTAAAGTGTCTTATATTTTATGACGCTAAATATTTCTTAAAATATCTGATAATTTGGGATGGAGGGAGTATATATATAACCTATTTGTGCGAGGAAGAAAAAGGTGTGAACAAAAGGGCAAATTATACACAACTTCTCCACTCACATGCTAGGGGTTCCGGTTGTAGTTTATGCTTCCTAAAACATACATATAAAATTTTTTATGTGTGTGTATATATATTTAGTTAGTTATTTTGTATTCTTTTTATAAACATTATTATTTATTTATCATATAGTTATTAATTAAAAATTAATTTGTTCCGTGAACCTACAATTTTAGTTTTAAGTAATGATTATTTATTTGCTCATTTAGTATAATCAATTATAGTTAGTTATTTTCATAATTGATGCATTATTTTAACTGCTTATTTACTATTGTATATACCATGCATGCTCCATTGAAATTTATTTGTATTAATTACTCTCTTGGATAAATAATTAGTACTCCCTCTGTTAAAAAATGTAAGGCATTTTTTAAGAAATTAGATATTAAAAAATGTAAGACATTTTTAGTTTTTTGAGGTGTAATCATTATTTTTTTTTCAAAAATATCCTTGTTGATAATAACTTTATATTTATTGTAGGGTGTTTAATGGAAATAAATATAAAAAAAATAGGGTTATTTGAAAAGTAGGCAACTATTTTATTGGGAAGTGAGATTTGATTAAAAATATTTTTTATTTTTTAATAAGGGGAGTATTTATTTCATGCGCACACATTAATATGTGTTAGTATTAGCAATATCTGTTTAAATCATACATTAACTCTTTGAATTTATCTTAGTTACTTGATGAACATTTATTTCTTCTTGTAATTATTAGGGGTGTGTGTGTGTGTGTGTTGTTATTAATATTTAGTTTTTGTGATAATTGTTTAATTATTGTGTCAATGTTTATTTTTGGTGTCATGTCCGTATGAATAAAATTATCACTCTAATATATATATATATATATATATTTTTTTTTTTCTAAAGAAAATTCCTTTTATGGCATAAGATTTGGGTAAAAGAAACTATTCTATGGATTTATTCTAGGAGACACCATAGTACAATTTCTTATGATAAAATATGGTTAATTTAGAAGTGTTTATTTTCAATTTTTTTGACAATCATTATAGTATTATTAGCTAATGTAATTAATTATTTATGATATGCTTTCAATTATTTAAAAAGAATTTTTACACTCGAGGCAATTGGACCATTATTAGTTCTTAGATAAAAATCTTATCAAGACTCTAAATTCTTATTTGGTCATCTTTGTAATGTATCTAGATGGCAATAGAAAAGATTGTCATGAATATCAATTGGATGACAATCATAGTGCCAGATTATGGATTGACTTGAGTGATAGCGAACATTCGCACCCACTTTGAGACCATCTAGGGTCCCTTGCTGCCACCTACTCTGACCAGATAATGCCACCCTCACCCTTTCATTCATCACACCTTTCACTTTCCCTGTCACCATTAGTGCCTTCACTAGATTGACTTTAACCACTCTTTCACCTGCAGGCTGCCGCCGCCACCACTCTTTGTGCCACCACCTCCACCATTTATGTAGCCGCTACTACTCTTCATGCAGCCGCCACCTCCATTTATATGTCTGCCACCACCACCTTTTATATGCAGCCCACTCCGATGCGAATGATACCTCCAAACATACCCAATGGGGATAATGAGATATTTTAGGAATGCATATGTAGGACTTTTTTTAGTATATTATATTAAGAGATACTTTGGTATATGTTTGGTATAACTACAAAATCCCCTTCTCTTACATGCATTAGGAATGTCTAAAAATTCCACAAGTTGATCCGATATAACTTGGCTTTATATAAATAAATATAGGTATATATCTATTTGATCTTACTTAAATGTGTGTAAAAACAATTCTTCATGACTTAATTTGTAGTTTAATTTTTATTCCTTTAAATGTGGTATTAAAAAAAGAATGTCCATGATTTCTTGTCACTCTTGGATAAATTTAGTTTTAATAATAATAATGTAAAAACAAACAAATAAATATTCTAACCTGTTAACCAATTAAACCATCCTGAGGGGGTTATATCTTAAATATGGGAAGCTTGTGGACTCACATTAAAGAGGGAGATTTTTAGATTATCCAAGTGTGGGTGAACATAAAATGATGTGAGAAATCTCATATTTGATAAAGTTAAACTTAATAACTAATAATAAAGAGGAATGATCCATAAACTTGAGCCTTAAAATTTTAAATTAAGATGTGACGTCTTTTTACTAATCTTGCTTATCTCTCCTCTCCTCCTATTCTTGGGCAATCATTCCCCCATCCCCAACAGTAATAAATTTTATCGGCTTGGTTTACCAAAAAGCTCAATTTTTAGGAAATTAGGCCACTGATTTTCCCATGATTATAAAATTAACTTATTGGTTAATAATTTAGTTTTCCGATGACAGCCAAAATAACAACAGAAAGATATATATTCAAATCTTACCTTTTCAAAATTTTGAAATAAATTTCAATTAAAAGGCACTTTTATCATTAAAATCTTAAATATTACTTTTTTAAAAAAAATATAAGGCATTTTTTAAAGGATTAAACGTTAAAAAATATAAAAAATTTTAATTTTCAAGATATATATAATCATTGCATTTTTTTAAAAATATCTTTATTGAATAAATTACTTTATAGTTATTTTAGGGTGAAACACTTTATTAAACAGGGATAAATATAAAAAAATAAAATTAATTTAAAGATAAATAACTACTTTATTGAGGTGAGATTCGATTAAAAATATTTTATATTTTTAAATAGAGGGAGCATCTATTAAAAAATAGTTGAGACTTCAAAAAATGAAACAAGCAGCGGTCAACTTCGTAAAATGCATTCGTTTGTGAAGCTGATTTTTTGAAGAAACTGGTAAATTGAACCAAACAACTCCAGGAATTCATCTCTACTGACTAGCAACTTCTTCTTCTTCTTCTTTTAACGCGTCCATTTTAGTGAAAAAGTTACTTTAAAAAAAAATGGAAACAACAGGAGATTGCAAATTTAATGTTATAAACATTCAACCTTTTGTAGGATGGTTCTGTATGGATGTGAGCTACAGATAGAAATATAGCCTAACGTTTACACCCAGACACATTTATAGTATACATTAATAATTAAATCCAAAATTGTTAAATCCATTTCTTTTTGGTATTTAAAATATTAATCAATTTATCAATTACTTTCTAGAAATACTAAATTTGTCACACATTTTTCACATCTATAGCCAATTTATCATATTTTTTTCAAAAAAGGTTTAACATATACACTTACCATTTCTAATGAACTACCTCAATATCAGTTTATAAGACATTTTTTTAATAAAATTATATATATTAATAAAATTTATTAAATATATTTTACAGTCTTATTTTTTTTAAAAAAGTACAAATATAACTTTTTAAAAATATCCTTAATGTAATACAATTTTATTTGAGAAATATTAAATAGAGAGAAAAAATATATTAACAACGGAAGCGTAATATTGGATCAGATGTAATCAATAAAATTTCATTTTTGTTAAAATATTTTATATTTTGAGACACTATAAAGTGGGACCCACTGAGTAATATAATCCTTGGTAAATCAAATTAATCTTTCACCTCCGCGTGTGTATATATAGCCCTCATTCTTCCTCAAGCTCATCCATCTCCAGCTCAATATTTCCTCTCCTTTCTTCTTCATCTTTCACATTTCCGATCAAACAAGTTAGGGTTCATGGGTCGTCGAAAGATCGAGATGAAGCTGGTGAGAGACTCAAGCTCAAGGCAAGTCACCTTCACCAAGCGTCGCAATGGCGTGTTCAAGAAAGCAAACGAGCTCACGACATTGTGCGGAGCAGAAGTCGCCGTCATCGCTTTCTCTCCTGGAGGAAAGCCTTTCTCCTACGGCCAACCCGGCGTCGACGCCGTGGCCAATAGGTTCCTCCGCCGTGGTTCCGTCAGAAGCAAACCGGACAACATTAACGGTACTGCGATTGAGAAGCTGAGCCAGGAGCTTATGAATCTGATGAATGAGAGTGAGGCCGAGAAGAAGAAGGCAGAGATGCTTGACGAGAGGTTGAAGAAGATGAACTTGACTTGTTCGGGGAAGCTGCCATTGGAAGGTCTGAATAAGGATCAGCTTCAAAAGCTGAAGAGGTCCTTGGAAGAAATGAAAGAAGAAGTTCGAGAGAGCGTGAAGCAATTGGAGGCATCTTCAGGCTTGATGCTTCTTGTTCAGAAAGCTGCGGACGATAAAGAGAGTCATAGTAATAATGCTTGAGATTTAAATATTTCTTCGATTTATGCAATCTAAAATAATATAATCTATCCTATTTTTATTTTCCTTCGTTGAATGAAAAAAAAATGAAGGAAACAAAATTTTAGGGTGATAAAATAAGTGAGGTTTATTTTTCTTTAATTTCAATTTAAGATAGATTGCTCTTGTTAGTCTAAATTATAAATTTCATGTTGATGTTTCTCTTATTTCATGAATAAGCTAAGTTTTTATCCCAGATTTGCAGCACATGAATCACCACAAAAAATAATATGTAAATAGCGTAAGGCTCTTCTATCAACTAGTTGAGTTAAATCAACTGATGATGGGGTTTCAAGTTTGAATCTTGACATATGCAGTGAGGCTAAATAAATACTCTCCCCATCCCTATATATAAAGTGTTTTTCATAAGTTTGTTTTGTCTCTAAATGTAAAGAGTACTATGATAATTTTAAGTAGTTAGTTAATTTTGTCCTTATCTTGAAAAGGGAAAGAGATATTAATTATTACTTTACCCACCATAATAATATTAATTTAGACATTTATCAGGGGCAAAGTTAGACAGTTGTTATAATTTTATGAGTTTTCAACTAAATAATAAATTTTTATTGGTATGTGTAATTTAGTTAAAAACACCTTATATATAAAGATGGAAGAAATATGTCAAAAATATTTTTAAAATACTCGTGAGATTATCATTGGTAATAACGATCTCACACAACAAAGATTTAAATTAGTGTAAGAAGAAGGTAGTAATACTCTCAAGTTTGTCCATAATACTGAAAGATGGAATCAAGAAAATATTAATGTTGCTAATTTTTCTCATCCTTTATGTATGTAACAGCACAGTTGTGGAGTTATGTTATTTGCGAGTTGCCATAAGTAGTTGGAGGAAGATAATATATATATATATATATATATATTTGCAAGTGATTTTAAAGGAATATTCTTTTCCATTAATTAGTTAAAAGCTGAAAACGTTTTATTTTAATCTTTCTTTCTTTGAAAAATCAAACGAGTTTTTGGGGCATGCATTAAAATAAATACAAGAGATTCCTTTAAATATAGTATGAAACATACATGCGTACAAGCATCTTAAAACGCACGCGCCAAAATAATTTTAATAATTTTAAATAGTATGTTATGTATTAATAAGAATAAATTAATATGTAATATAAGATTTATAACAAATTATGCTAATTATAATATGTGATTTGTTTTTATACTTAGACTGCATAATATATTTTATTAGAATGACAAACTGAATATTTCGGCCCAAAAAAAAAAAGAATGAGAAACTGAATAAGTAAATTGCATGTGTATTGAATAGTAATTAATTAATCGAGCTCTGCCTTATAAATATATCAATACTTTAATCAAAATAAAGTGGATAGATTTCACAAGTCTTTTATAAAGTGAAGTGAAAATAAATTTAAATATTACTTTCATAAAATCAATATCAGTTGAAAATTTAATAATCAACAAGTCTCAAAATTTTAATATTAATATAATATAAAATCTATGAGAAGTTGTGTTATTGATTGATAGATACATGCATACATACATACAAAATAAATAGCATATAGTAACTGAGCTTATTGATCCTATAATTTGAATTCTCAATGTGTTATAATTAATTATTAATTGCGGTTAAAACTACATGCATCAGCAAAGTTATCTTGAATAATAACTTTCATATCAAGCATCAAGTGAATAGTTTTAGTGATTACATCTTATATGAAAACTTTTAAATTAATATCATCATGTGATTCTAGCTATCACAAATTGTTGTGATTAAAAACATTTTGCAGTGATTATAGAAAGTTTGGTTTGTTTTCTGTAGCCCATGGTTTCTAAAACAACTGAAATGAAAATACATAACTTGCAAATTGAAGAACAATTCATATCGATGTGAAATATATTTATACTTTGAGTAATGCTAATATATTTTTTTAATTACGCTTAATTTAATTGGTTTATAACTTTAATTTATTTATAAAGAAAATTAGCGTATGCATTTTATTGCGTGGACATTTTTTATATATTAATAAATAACTTTCTTCATTTGTGAAAATAAATTTTTTAGATCTACACCTTCCTTGTATATATTGTAAAAGGTATTCAATATATGTGTTCCTTTTTGTTTTTTTTTTGGGGGGGGGTAGAAATGGGAACTAAAATTCAATCAGAACTAAAAAATTCAAAGCACAAAGCAAAACAACAAAGAAACAAAGAAAATTTTCATCAACCGCTAACTTCAATAATATGTTTTCCTATTTGGAAAAATTAAGATGGCTTGCATTTTTTTAGAGTGATTATGGCTTTGTATCTAAAATTAAGAAAGCTTTTGTAGAGTGATTATGGCTTGCATCCAAACACTATCTATGCAAATCCTTTGGAATGGGGAGCCAACAAAGCCTTTTTCCCCTTCAAGGGGCCTCATATAAGGTGACTCAATTTCTCCATATATTTTTACTTCATGTATAGAGAGACTCAATCATAGTATCAAAGATGCTATTTCGGAGAATAAGTGGAAACTAACAATGGTGGCCCTAACATCCCTCATATCTTCTTTGCAAATGATTTGGTATTCTTTGGGGAAGTTTCAACTGATCCAGTGGAAATTATGTTAGATTGCATTAATAAGTTTTGTGTTGCCTTTGGTGAAAACATGAACAGTAGCAAGACTAAGGTATGCTTCTCATCTAACGCCTACATCTCTAGAGCTTTGGAATTGAGTAATGTAATGGGGGTTAGACTCACTAGTGATTTGGGTAAGTATTTGGGTATCCCTCTTATTCATAAATGTGCTTCCTATGTCTTGTTCGCTCTGATTCTAAATAGAACTAGAAACAAGTTGGAAAATTGGAAGGGGAGATTTTTGACTATTGAAGGGAGAGCGACCCTAATTAAAGTGATGTTATCTGCCTTACCTTTTTACTACATGTAAAATATGATCTTGCCAAAACATTTGCCTAGAGAGGGGGCATAGATGATTCCTCTGGGGTGAGTTAGACACGGAAAGAAAAATCCACCTTCTTTCATGGGAGATTGTTACCAAACTAAAAGAGGAAGGGGGCTTGGGAATTAAAAATCTTAAAAAGCAAAATGTAGCTCTTGTGATGAAGCTTTGCTGAAATCTCCTTTGCAAGAAAGAAGCTTTATGGGTTCAAGTTCTTAAGAGTAAATATAATTGTGGTATGAAAGCTTTACCTTGCATCTAGAAAAAGAGAAGTTTTTCCTTTACATGGAAGGGCATTTGTGAGGTTTAGGAGAGGTTCAAATGTGGCTTAGGCAAGAAAACTAGCAAATGAGAAGAAAATGTCTTTCTAGTTTGAAAACTGGTCGACGATCAATAGGCCCCTTATTGACCTAGTTCCTGGTTTGAAAGGTTACATATACAACATGGTGATTTTGTTTCTAAGTTTGTGAATCAAGAGGGAGATTGAGGTAAATGAAAGTTAGGAACATAGTTTGATTCTTATATTATTGAATGTCTAACTTGTGCACACCCACCTCGTGAGGAGAGGGAAGAGGATATGTTTGTTTGGAAGCCATCTCTGGATAGTTCTTTTACTATCAAATTTGCCTATCATTTTCTTCTTGCAGTTACAGCACACGATACTGGAAGCATCTGGAAACTTTTTTGGCAGTGGAATGTTTTGGAGAAAATTAAGACATTTATGTGGCTATTCACTCATGGAAGAGCTTATATCTACCAATTTAGATTGAGCAGAGGTATCTTGAATACAGTTCTTTGTCCTTGGAACTACTAGCACATGCTTGGAGATTGCAAAAATGCATTTGACAAATGGAATTCTATTCTGAAGCAAGAATGCAAGAATAAATTTTCCATACTGAAAGGTGAGGATTGGGTAAGATGGAATCTAAAGATTGAGGCAGGCCAAGCCTACATGCGGAAGGTCCCATGGTCTACTTTATTTAGGTATATCTGCTAGGATATTTAGGTTGAGAGATGTAGAATCTTGTTTGAAGCGGCTCCTTCCTTGAACAACTAGTCAAGGATTTCCACCTACTATAGAGGTTGCATGGATAGAGATTTGATGCTATCTTACAATCTACAACAGAAGGGTTTAAAAGAAAAAGTAACTTGGAGAGCTCTTAAGATTTAATTTGTGTGATTAGATGTGGATGGTTATGTGAGTAATAATGGTCAAAGCAGTTGTGGAGGAGTTTTGCATGAATGTGAAGCAAAGTGGATTTGGGAATTTAGTTGTAAACTCTCTCTGGTCTCGATCACCATAGCTAAATTATTAAGTTTTATCTATGAGCTTAACCTTTGTTGGCCCAAAGGTTATAGAAAGATAAAGGTTTTCATGGATAACATTGAAGCAATTAATCTTTTTACCCATGGAAGCAACATTGTTCATCTGTTTCATGATATCATTGAGGAAGCTCACTCTTTTTTTTTTTTTGTGGAAATTTGTTTATTTATGTTAATTTTATGTTTAGAGAGTAAAATGTTTTGGCTAACTCCTTAGCCAAATGGTCCCTTAAGTCTAACAGAGCCTTTTATCTCTTTGATCAAAAGCCATCTTTCATAATAGAGATGGGGTTTGATGGAAGAAGAATTGTTTAAACTTTTGTTTTGTTTGTAGCTGGTTGCATTTAGTGTTCAGACTTTATTCCAAAAAAAAAAATTTAAGATGGGTGTAATGAATATTTGAAAAGAAATGAGTAAACATTATATATGAATGAATAAAAGCATGCTAGCACAATAATCCTTTGATTGTAGCTATCATAAAGGAAGACAATTTTTATTTGATCAGTTGATGAAAATAATTTTTACTTTTTAAAAAATTGTAGCAGTGAAACATACATACGATATTGCATATATAGCAACAGCAATCCGTTATTAAAATTTAGAAAGATGGATGTCACCAGATCTAGAGGTTTTTACATATATAACTTATGTCATAAGATTAAATCAAGCAAATAGTTCAATATTTATTATATTTTGTATTATAAATGGTTTATTATTTTTG